ACCTTGATTTTGGCATGTTTTGGCTTTTAACATGCCCTCTTCACTGAGCTTAATCATTTCTAGATTTTGATTTACACTGAGCTGTTTGACTCTTCCTTTCGCTTGAACGTTTAAAGGCCATTGTAGGTTCATTCATTGGCCTAATTTCAATATTGTATTTCAGGAAAGAGGGAGGCCTGAGGTGGGATGGGGAGAGAGAGAGAGATGTGGGACAGAGACAGGTTGATGGAACACACACAACCTTTCTCTATTAAGTTTGCTGTCTTACGCGGGAGTGGTTTGTGGCACCTCAAGACATTTATAATAGTCACTCAAAGATCACTGATTACAGATCACCATGACAGATATAATAATGAAGGAAAAGTTTGAAACATTGAGAGAATTACCAAAATGTAACACAGGGTCATGATGTGAGCATATGCTCTTGGGAAAATGGTGCCACAGACCTTCAATTTGTGAAAAAGAAATGCAGTATCTACAAAGCACAGTAAGGCAGAGTTTAATAAAATGAAGTCTGCCTGTATTTTAGATGGATTAAGCACTGCAAACCTGAGAGAAGAAGCAACTGGAGCTAGTATAGTGAGAAATGGTAGTGTTTGAAGTGATTTTCATTCCTAGCCAAGGAGTTTGGCCTTAATTCATTAAGAATTGTGGATCCATTGAAGGTGTTTTTTTTTTTTTTTTTTTTTTTTTTTTTTTCTTGGAGACAGGGTCTTACTCAGTTGCCCAGGCTGGAGTGTAGTGGAGCAGTCTGGGCTCACTGCAGCTTTTATCTTCTGGGCTCAAGCGGTCCTTTGATTTCAGCCTGCTGAGCAGTTGGGACTACAGGTGTGTGCTACCATGCCCGGCTGATATTGTTTATTTTTTTTGTAACAACGATGTCTCACAATGTTGCCCAAGCTGGTCTTGAATGCCTGGGTTCAAGCAGTCGTCCTGCCTCAGCCTCCCGAAGTGTTTGAGATTACAGGTGTGATCCACCATCCAGCCCAATGAAGGTCCGGAATAGTGAAACTGACATTGATTCCATAAATACTTACCCAGAGCGTTGCCTGGATTATGTTAATCATGGGGCGTTAACTCAGCTGAGACAGAGGTGGGATCTGAGTTAGTGGCAGGAGGTGCTATCCATTGATATTCAAGGTCTGTCAGTTTCCTTTCTAGTTACCTTTTCATCCTGATGATGATAATAGCTACCACTGATTTTGCATTGCATGCTTCATGCTAAGTGACTCATAGTGACTCTGAGGTATATGTATATTATTAATCCCTGTCTTTCAAATGAAGAGATTGAGATTTAGCAGAGGCAAATGCCTTGCTCCAGGTTGCACAACTAATATGTGGCAGATCTTAGATTTGGACCCCAGGACCATTCCTGTTTCAAAGTCCATTCTGCTAATAGCACTAAATCCTGCCCTGTCCTACCTCTCTGATGGTGTAACCCTGCTAGTGACCTTCGTGAGCCTTGCTGCATTTGGCATGCTCTGTATTTGCTTCCATGGTGGGTGTTCCTCCTCTGCTGAGTTCCCAGTTCTCTTTTTAATACTGCAGGTATCCCAGGCCTGGGAGGAGCTGCTTGTATGTAATGTGGCACATTTCTGTTGTCATCCATTATGTGTTTATAATTTACGTGTTTTCATATACTAGGACGAGACACTGTTTTTGTACTACTAACACAAAGCACTCAGTGTACTACTGGTTTAGCTGTGCATCGGTGACTAAGATTACAGTGCCAGTACCTCTAAAATGGTAGGGTGGACTGCATGACCTCTGAAACCCCTTCCAGGTTGCCTTCTGCTCCTAGGGTTAGGCATTAACAAAGACGGAATAGTGGTTCCAGGATTCTGGATGCTAGGGAGAGTATGGTCCAAAAAAGCTGTCATTCTTTTCAATCCTGACCCCTGACACAACTCTCAGTAACATTGATGATCATAAACTTTCTGATTATCTGGCTTCATGGACATGAAGTTCTATTTAACATCAACAACTACACATGTATTCATATCACCTGCATTGCCTGAATTTAGAACTGATCCACTTTAAGAGTAGCTTCCATAGTCACTTTCTTTGTATTTTCTACCTCTGAACATTCCCTGCCCCTCCATCCTTGCTATGATCTGTATCCATTTGTTTTCTTTTTTGAGACAGAGTCTTGCTTTGTCTCCCAGGCTGGAGTGAAGTGGCGCCATTTCTGCTCACCGCAACCTTTGCTTCCTGGGTTCAAGCAGTTCTCCTGCCTCAGCTTCCTGAGTAGCTGTGATTACAGACCCCTACCATCACACCTAATTTTTATATTTTTAAAAAGATGGGGTTTCACCATATTGGCCAGACTGGTCTTGAACTCCTGACCTCAGGTGATCCACCTGCCTCGGCCTCCCAAAGTGCTAGGATTACAGGGGTGAGCCCCTGCACCTAGCCTTCTGTTTTGTTTTTATCACTTGAAGCTGGGGCTCTACTCCAGACTAATTAAATTAGAAACTGATGGGGTGGGGCCTAAGGCACTGGTATTTGTTAAAAGTTCTGGTCACCATTCTGCTGTGCATTCAAGGCTGAAAGCTGAGTTGAAAGTAGGCACATCTGGCCACTGTCCACTCATTGGTGCCCTTTCATTACCATTCCCTAGTCGTGAATAATTATCAACATCATTAATAATTATTAAGGAGTGCAGTACTAGTCACCATGTATTATTTTCTATTTTCTATTTTTTTTTTTTTTTGAGACCGAGTCTCGCTCTGTCACCAGGGGCCAGGCTGGAGTGCAGTGGTGCGATCTCTGCTCACTGCAACCGCCACCTCCCAGGTTCAAGCAATTCTCTTACCTTAGCTTCCTGAGTAGCTGGGACTACAGGTGTGCGCCACTTCACCCAGCTAAATTTTTGTGTTTTTTATTAGAGATGGGGTTTCACCATGTTGGCCAGGATGGTCTCAATCTCTTGACCTTGTGATCTGCCAGCCTCGGCCTCCCAAAGTGCTGGGATTACAGGCGTGAGCCACCGCGCCCGGCCTCTATTTTTAACTTTTAATTGCAGTTTTACCAATCCTTATCCACTCACTTGTCTTATGTCCCAGAGCCCTAAATCTATCTAATTGATAAGAGAACTTTAAGTCCATTAAGTACACTTAAAGCATGGGGTTAAAAGCCTTTATTTATGGACTCCCAAAAGGAGTTCAGATTGTGGAATAGTATATTCAGCAACATTTTAAAAAAAGATATGCGTATGTTTATTAAAACATTAATGCATACTTAGAGTAAAAAGAAAGATATATGTTTAAATATTTCATGATTTTGGATGATGGCATTACAGATGGTTTTTCTTTTCATGTCTACAGTATACATTTTCTATAACGAACCTTTATTTCTCATATATTCAAAAAAATCTTAAGAAGATATACCCGAGACAAAATAGGTGTGTATGAATGTGTGTGTTATTAATATTTTTAGCTCTTGAGGCTAAAATATTCAGTAGGGATATTGAGAATAGTACCATACTGAGAGTGAGTTAATAGCAAGGCTTGGCATACAAAAGCTAGGATTTGGATCCTTGTTATTTTTGTTTTTGCTTATTATAGCTAAGCTAAACTTGTCTCATCTGATGGTTGGTATTTTGTTTTGTTGAACAAGTGAGTGTCATGAGACTGTTAGTCCATAACAGGGCAGAAGAACTTGATGACATAGATAGTGTACTGTTTTTAATGCCAGTGGACTAACTTTGTGATCTGTTATCGGTGCTTTCAGAAAACCTATTAAACTGGGAACAGAATGTCGACCTAGTATCTGTTCATCTTTGGGCATTGGCTTGTTACCGAAGTTTAACAACTCCAGCGTGCGTTTAAATTTTAATTTTAAATAAGACACAATTAAAATAAGTGGTTTAGATGAAAACTTAACAGTAGTTATCTCTGTGTTCTGTTAAATAATTTTAAATGTTTAAAAAGTAAAAACAAAGCACTCAATGACTAACAGAGGTTTAGTTTCTACTCTTTGTTTTGTCAAAATAAAAGGTGGGAGAACTTACTGCCAAATAATGGGAAAACAGCATTGTGTGGTAATGTTTCAGTAGGATGGTTTCTTCTGAAATGCTGTTTGCTAATCCTTGGGGAAATTTGGCTGTGAGCATGCAATTATTACATTTTTATCCACAGAATGGGCTAAAGTTGGCATCACATCCCTCATGGTTGCCAGAGGCAACACACTGATATAATTTGTGCCCCTATGGCAGACATTTCTGAATAATTTTAGTGATTTTTTTTCCTGATGCTACTTTGGTTGTTTCCTTTCCAGTATCCTACTGTTTGTTGCTCCCCACCCTCTCTGACTTCACCCTCCCTGAGTTTTGAGGCACTTGGTGTTGGTTGAGGAGGGTAGAATAATTGAAGGTCCAGATGATCACCAGGAGGGAAGCCATGCGGGTGTTCCTGACACATCCTGGGGCAATGCGGGTTGGAATGCTTTCATGGTCCAGCTGCAGTGAAAGAATGTCTGTCTTCTTAAAGACTGACAAAAACAAAACAAATCTTAATTAGGCATATTTGAAATTCAACATGGAGCCTGAAAAATTGACCCTAAGAGAGCTGCTTTCAGGGGCGTTTGAATTCTTTTGCTGTAAAATTTGAGATTCCTTCAGGTTTCCCCTTCACCATTCTGTCCTGCTTTGCCCCCCTCCCTGCCTTTTTTTTTTTTTTGGTATACTGATGTTTAACCAGGAGGATCACCAGGTGGACCTAATTCGAGAGTGAACTTCTATTCTCCTAGGTTAAGAGTCACCGAAGCACAAGGGTAGAGCTGCCACAGGGCAGGCCACCTCACACTAGCATGCATTCTGGAAGGACTATGGGGTGGTCATCCTTTTCTGAGCACTGCTTGTACAGGCATAAACCATTTTTAGGGAGCAGATGTTTGTTTTGTCAATACACCCTTGAGATAATCAGAAAGGGGAAGAAAAAGTGTAATTCTTATACCCATTGTGTCTAGAAACTCACGTTTTTCTTCTTTTTTTAATGCAGAGTGGACACAGATATCTACCAGATATCTTCGAGAGCAGTTGGCTAAGATTTCTGACTTTTACCACATGGCCTCCAGCTCTGGTGATGGCCCTGTCCCTGTGCCACCAGAGGTGGAGCAAGCCATGAAGCAGTGGGAATACAACGAAAAGCTAGCATTTCACATGTTCCAGGTAACCTTTCGAAGACATGCAAAATTGTGTGCCATGCTTTTAAGAAGAGAGCAAATTCCTTATAGTTTGGTATTCTGGGGTTAAATCGTATTTTTACCAACCAATATGTTCAAAGAAAGCAGTCTGACATTTCTCACATTGAATTGTATTCAGGGTAATACATCTGCCCTGGGATGACAGCTCATTATACATATTGATCTCCAGCTTTCAATCATGTCAGCTCTTTGAGTGCTATTAATTACTTTGTAATTAGACTATTAAATGTAATCCTTCTAAACCTTTTATTTTGCAAGATTGGATATATTTACTCAAAAACACCTTTGTGCTGATGCCTTCTGTGGTAGCAGACCTCCTTTAGACTCAGGTTGTCCCAGAGAAAGGTCATCTTAATTCAGCTGCAGCTGAAAATGCAAAACGGGGTTGCAGTGGTGGGGGGTGGCGGGGCGGGTAGGGGCGTGGAGGAATGACTGACTCTCACCCAGACAAACTGATGTAAATAATGTTGACCACAAGAGGGAGCTTGGGCTGATAATTGCCTTTTCCGTGGTAAGATAGGAGAGAGAAATTGAGTCCATGTTTTCTTATTAGCAGAGATTTTAGAACCTGTTACCTTGATTAAAGAGGGAGGGGACATGTGGTTTCTAAGTTTTCCCTTTAGAACCTTTATTATAATTTTCAGGCTCTTCTAAGAGCTCAATATAGGATAAAACAAGGTCTTTTTGAGACGTAATATTGTTAGTTAAGTCAGTAAAAACAAATCCTAGTTCCATTTAGAAGAGGGACTACTTCAGTGACTGCCCTGAGCTTTTATGACTTTTACTGAGCTCAGAATTTAGTCTGCATCTTGGAAAAAGTATCTCTCAGCATGCTTAATATTTTTGGAAGAATTATATATTAGGAGTATTGAAATTAGTAGTTTTTAATAGAAAGCAGTTAGGTCCTAAAGGAATGAATATAATTGAAATAGTAATGTTAAAATTTAAAAGTTCATTATATTTCAATTTGCCGTATTCTGAAATGTGAAACAGACCCTAATTCATACACATGAAGACAAATATATGCAGAAACAAGGGCATGGGAATATAAACAAAGCATCTACAGGATGGACTGTTGTTTATGAATATCCTTTTATTTTTTTGAATCTTGAATTTACCATCTCTTATACCTTAATGGAAAATTCCATTTTGTCTCTTCTTAAAAACATTTTAATTAACTTTAAATTGACAAATAAAAACTGTACATATATTTATTATTTTAGAACTCACTTTACTGGTATTAAAATTTTAAATTGTGCTTTTTTGTGACTTTTTAACTGTTTTTGACTCTAAACATTTAAAAAAATTAGAAATTAGCAGGAAGTATACCTTGATGTCATGTCAATGTGGCCTCACTGTAAACCTTGAAATACTCCAAGCTATAATTTATCAGTGTAATATTTTCCTGTGACTCCTTAATAACCGTTAGAGCGGGACACTGGATACCTAACAGTTGATAGGAACAAAGTAAAATTTCGTATGAACTACTAAGTTTGTTACTGGAATGACCGTAAAAGTATGTGTCTTTCCCAGATTTCTATCTCAAAGATTCTTTCATTCTGTGAATTATAATACAAAACTACAATAGGATATTAAATCTATATATGCATAGAATGTCATAAAATAGTGTGTATGTCTGTACATTTGTGTATATGTATATGAAAGCAATAGACAAAAGATGCTTGTAGTGCTTATATCAAGATTAGTAGTCTCACTAGGAGCTGTATCACCCCTGTGGTGCATTTTGGAAATTGTTGGGGGTATTATTTATTTTTTTTATTGTAGTTGTGTTGAAATGCTTATACATGATTTTATCATAAGCTCCTTTCATTTCTGGTATTAGGTCATTATATTGATTTTTAAGGTTATGTTTTATAGATAGGCGGTAGTATCTGACACTAATTTTGGGATAGTGAAAGAAGCTATTAAGGGGGCATTGGATCTGATGGGATTTTCAAACTTTTGTTAAGATGATGGTGTGAGCAGTGCTTATCTTCTTTATAATTGTCACTGATATCCAAGTTTCCTTCTATGAGCATGAGTTCGTACTCCCCCAAAATCTATCCAGGAGCTTGACACACCCTACGGGTGTGAAAGCTTCTGAATTTTTGTTGTTGTTGTTGTTGTTGGAATTGATTTTTCTCAATTTTGAGCAGATTACTAAAAAACAAAAAACTATACAAAACAGTTTAATTCTTTGATTTGTTTAGAATTTGGACTGTGATCATTGAGACTGTGTTTAACAACAGCAACAAAAAAGTAGTAAAATTTGACTTAAGCATAGGAATGAAATGCTTTTTTGTCTTTAACGTTATTAATGTAATTTTTCTTTGTTCATTTAAGGAAGGAATGCTAGAAAAACATGAATATTTGACATGGATCCTGGATGTTTTAGAAAAAATCAGACCAATGGACGATGATCTTCTTAAACTTTTGTTACCACTAATGCTGCAGGTATAGTACATGTCCCCTTGAGGCAGTTGGTTTTATGAGCAAGAAGCGAGTCTGATAAGAATGATTAGGTAAGTGGAGGAGGAAAAGGAAAAAAAAAATACCCTGTTGAAGTGGAAAGAAAAAATGTCTTTGATACTACAACATATGAAGTGATAAAGGCTTCTAATAAGTTTTATCCATCATTGTATTAACCATGTTCATAGTTTTTATCCATGTGTCCTAAGTTTTAAGTAATTTTACCCACATTGATTTCTCCCATCACTGAGCAAAGCAACCAACTTTTAAAATACTGTCTCCCTATAATAACACAGATTTCTGTGAAAACAAAACGAATCATCCCTTTTGAAGATAAAGGAGGATGTTCTACATTCTTTTGACAAGTCTTTGAGACTCTTGGGGAGGAAACTTTTTATTTTGATGACTGGTCTAAAATGTGCTTATATTTGAAGTGTCTGGGTGAGATATATTTAAAAAAAGTTTGTTAAGTGATACATATATTTGATAATTCAAGCAAAGTGAAAGAATATCCAATGAGCAGCAGTTCTCCCTTTCACTCTCATACCCTCCCCACAGACTACACCATAGGGTCCTGTGTCTCTCCCCTGAAATAGTCTGTACCTGCACTGTCCATTACAATAGCCACTAGCCAGACATGGCTACTGAGCTCTTGAAATGTGACCAGTCCAAATTGATGTGTGCTCTAAGTGTAAAATGCACACCAGATTTCAGACTTAGTACGAGAAAATGTGTAACAGTAATACTTTTTATGTTGATTACTGGTTGAAATGATAACATTTTGGATATATTGGGCTAAATAAAATACATTACTCTTCTAATTTTTGCCTGTTTCTTGTTTTTTTCATGGCTCCTAGAAACTTTAAAATTATACCTGTGGCTCGCATTCTATTTCTATTGGACAGCACTTGCTTTATATCTTTGAAGTTTTTTTTTTTTCTTTTTTAAATGAAAAGAAGTCTATGTTAAAATAGTTATTTAACCAAGACGCATAAGACATGACTGAAGTCTGGTGTCCTTCTACTTCTCAGTATTCAGATGAGTTTGTTCAGTCGGCCTACCTGTCTCGTCGTCTTGCCTACTTCTGTGCCCGGCGTCTTTCCTTGCTGCTGAGCGATAGCCCCAACCTCCTTGCTGCCCACTCACCCCACATGATGATAGGACCAAACAACTCGAGTATCGGGGCCCCCAGCCCTGGCCCCCCCGGCCCTGGCATGAGCCCTGTGCAGCTGGCCTTCTCAGATTTTCTTTCCTGTGCACAGCATGGTCCCCTGGTTTATGGACTTAGTTGTATGTTGCAGGTAAGTCCTTGGCCCTTGTTACTTTATGTTAAAATTCAGTGTGGGAAGTGACTGAGTTGGGAATTGCATTTTCAATTCTCTAGTTGAACTTCTACAACTGTTTTTTGTTTTCCTCACCCAAGTAATTTATTGATTGAAATTTTATGTTCTTATTTCCCTGTGATGGACCAAGCTGAGAGAAAATTTCTTGCATTCATCCAGGAGAAAGTTATTGCAGTTGTCCTTTATTAGGTTCATTAAGCAGTTCAATTAAAAATCCTTTGGGGAGCCCACAGAATAAGTTAGTTGTATTATTGTTCTTCTGGAAAGACAGCTTCTCCAGCCAGCATTTTTAATCTTTCCCAGTTCACATCTTGGGCTGGTTGCCTGTCTGTGTTTCTTTGAAGTCCAAATCATGTATCAGGCTCCATTCATCTTCCAAGCATTTTTGGTTGTGTAATCCTTGAACATCCAGTAACATGCTGGTTGCTGGGCTGATACTATCAGGAATATCAGGAATGAGATACAGCCCTGCCCTTGACAAGCTCACAGCTTAGTGTTCAGTTTGTATTTCTTGAGCTCTTACTGTGTTCTGCTGTATACTAAGGAGCTTTGAAACAGAGTTGGCCCTCAAGACATGGTCTCCACTCTGGCAGAGTTTACTGTCTTGTCAGGAAAACAGGATCATAAATGGACAGCTTCCGAATAATATGACAAGGGCCGGTGGGGAGATGCACAGGGGGCCAAGGTAGTTGAAAAGGGGAACTTATAGCCCAACCTAAAATTCACAGAGGCTTTGTGAAAGAAATTTTTTGCTTCTTCTAGTGAGCTGAGAAAGATAAAGTAAAAAGGAGTCAAAGTTTCCTGACAGAGGAAACAGTATGGGAAGAGGCCCAGAGGTTGGTCAGTTATCTTTTCTGTAGGTTGGTATTAGTGGGACATAAATTATCAAATCTGTCGAGGGTCACGGAATAGATGATGCCCTGTGGGCTTTGTGAGTGAGATGTCATCAGAGGGTTTTATGCAGCAAAGTGACACAGGTAGTTGTGTAATGTTGTTGGATTGTATTGGTCATGGTAGAGGGAAGATTTGTGGGAGAGGGGAGGTAGGAAAGAAGGAGGCTTGCAAGGCAAATCAGTTTGGAAGCATTTCAGTGAGTTCAGCTTTGGAGTATTTTGGACTCTTTTGTCCTTTAGAATCTCCAAATGGACATGTTCAAGAGTTGTTACATGTCCAGTTCTTAAGATTTGGGCGGACAGTTGGCTGGTTGTGTGGATTTGATTCCCTTCAAGAACTTTGGCTTTGAAAAACCCAAGAGGGAGTGAGATTGCCTGAAGAATTTTGTAGTGTGAGAGAATCCGTGAGCCCGAAGGACAGGAGTGTTTAAGAGTCAGGCAGAGGGGAAGTCCATGACGAAGACTAGGAAGGTTGGCCAGACTGGAGAGAGAACAGGGAGAGAGTAGTGTTACCCAAAGATGATGAGAATAGCGGTAATATTGTCATAATTATATTAGTATAGGAATAGCATTTACTGTGTTCTAGGCATTGTTCTAAGTTGTAACATATGTTATTAAGTTGTTTAGTTCTTGGAACTAGCCTATGAGATGGGAACCATTATTATTCTTAGAACATTAATAATGTATAGGTTACAGAGCAAGAAAGTGGCCAAGCTGGAATCCAAACTAAAGCAATCAGGATCCAGAGTCCACACTCAACCAGGATGCTAAACTGGGGTCTGCAGAAAGTTTCAAAAAAGAATGAGTAGTGGGCAATGCCTGTAGTATTGGAGGCGTCTGGCAAGAAGATGGTTGAAGTTGTCTTTGACAATATGGTGTTCATTGGTGATCTTCTTAAGAGCTATTTAGTTGAATGGTGGATAAGGACCCAAATTAAGAAATGTCTAGGAGTGACGGAGAATAAGGAGAAATAGTACTAACTGTTCTTTTGGGAAACATGTTTATGAAGGGAAGAGAAGAAAATGGATAGTGGATAAAGATGGCAGCTGAGTGGAGAGTTAAAAAAATTTGGTTTTGATGGGCAGATTTGAGCTTGTCCGTAAGTTAAGAGCAAATAGGAGAAGGAGAAGTATTTGATAGATTAGTGCCCTGGGTATTAGAGGGCTTTGGAATCAAGGACACAGAGAAGGGCTCTGTCAGGAGGAGTTGAGAACTCCACATTGCCACAGGCAGGAGGAAGGCAGTAGGAATGTAGCCGAGTGGAAAAAGATTCTGGGACTTGGCATTCTTTGTATTTGTCATCTGGTTTCCACAAAGGTGACTCCTAGACCTCAGAATTTAGTTTAGTTTTTTTTTTTTTTAATTGATTGATGAATTGATTGAGACAGGGTCTTGCTCTGTCACCCATGCTGGAGTGCAGTGGCACAATCGTCACTCACTGCAGCCTGGACCTCCTGGGCTCAGGCAATCCTCCTTCCTCAAGTAAGTGATCCTCGTGCCTCAGCCTCCTGAGTAGCTGGGACTTCAGGTGTGCATCACCATTACCAGCTAATTTTTAAATTTTTTGTAGAGACGGGGTTTCTCTGTGTCACCCAGGTTGGTTTCAAGCTCCTGGGCTTAAGCGATCCTTCTATCTTGGCTTCCCAGAGTGCTGGGATTATATGTGCAAGCCACTGTGCCTGGCCAGCTTTTTGTATGTATTTTCACATTTAAAAAAAAAAATTGCGTTCTTTCTCTAAGCTTACGTTGTATGCTGTTGAGTGGCACGAGAGCATAATAATGGCTTAGATGTACACTTGAAAGCTATTATAGACCTGATTTTAAGCCTCACTCTGCCACTTGGTAACTGTGACCTTGAGCCTCTGTTTCCCCATGTCTGAGTGGGGAGTAATGACAGTTCTTACTTCATTACCTCATAGAGTTAAGGTTATGATGACAGAAAGCTTCCAAGACAGTGTTCAGCACAGAGTAAGTGTAATTAGCTTAATTAAATGTCAGCTATGATGTTTATGTTTAGGGGGCAACAGGATAACATAGTGGTTCTGAGCATGTGTGCTATTCGTGAAATCAAACTTGGGTTGGTTTCTAATCTCCTATGTGGCTCATATTTATTCCTCTTTGGTAAAGGTGGGGAATAACACTACCTAAATCATCGGGTTGTTATGACCTCTAAGTAAGATGGTCACTTAAAGTACATCTGGTTAAATAAAGAATGTCTGCAAATTTCTAGGGCAAGGGTAGGCAAACTACAGGTTGTGGACTAAATTTGGCCCACAAGGTAAAAACAGATTTTATGTTTTTAATGCATTATTAAAACAAAAAGGAAGAATACATGACAAAAACTGTAGTTAGCCTGCAAAGCTTAAAACATTTACTATCAGGCTTTTTTTTTTTTTTTTTTGAGATGGAGTTTCTCTCTTATTACCCAGGCTGGAGTGCAGTGGCGCCATCTTGGCTCACCACAACCTCCGCCTCCTGGGTTCAGGCAATTCTCCCGCCTCAGCCTCCTGAGTAGCTGGGATTACAGGCACGCGCCACCATGCCCAGCTATTTTTTTTTTTTTTTTTGTATTTTTAGTAAAGACGGGATTTCACCACGTTGACCAGGATGGTCTCGAGCTCTTGACCTCGTGATCCACCCACCTCGGCCTCCCAAAGTGCTGGGATTACAGGCTTGAGCCACCGCACTCGGCACTATCAGGCTTTTTATAGAAAAAGTTTGACAACCCCTTGTCTAGGGTTGCCACCTGCCCAGCATTGAAGCTACTATTACATCATTATTTGATTTTGTTTTTGTTTTTAAATATTTTTTTTTTTAGCTTTTACTGCCTTAGAAATTATATATCCTAATTTCATCTCATGTTTTTAATTGCATGAAAAATTGGTTTAAGTAACGATTTTTAAGTGATGATTACTGCATTTTTTTTAAGTTCCTTCAGTTTCCTGTATTGGAGTATTCACTTATGAATTATTATATAACTTAATTTCTCAATAGCTGTACTTCCTGTCTTGCAACTTTGTAATTTTTAGTTTTTTCTTTTCAATTGCGAAGTTGAGAATGGGGTAAGATGCTCGTATTTTAAACTCACTATGATATAGTAATGACAGGATGTCATTTTTACTGTTGAGCTATTGTTATGCTTTTCTCCTTCCTCTGAATATTCAACATTTCCTGTTTCATTTCCAGACTGTCACTCTCTGTTGCCCAAGTGCCTTGGTGTGGAATTATTCCACAAATGAAAATAAGAGCGCAAACCCAGGCTCGCCCCTGGATCTGTTGCAGGTGGCCCCTTCCAGCCTCCCCATGCCGGGTGGGAACACGGCTTTCAATCAGCAGGTAGGCTTTATGTTTCAGTGACTTGATGGCTGTTTTCATCCTTGAGAGCCATCAGGGTACAGTGGGTCAAGCCCAGGTTTTAGTATCTAGATGCTTGGGTGCTATTCCCAGTTTTGCCTGCTAACACTCTGGGTGACCTTAGAGAATTGTTTAGCCTCTTCAGAACCACAGAAGTTCATGAAGTTGCTCCCTCTCTTTTCACCGTCTCGCTGAACAGTTCTTGCTGAGAGTTCTGCCACCAGACTATAATTATGGTGGTGGTTCTGGTACGTGACCATGACTCCTGTAGTAGTTTGGCTAATTAGTAAGTTTTATATGTTCTTATTAGTACTGGGTTGTTTCAAAATTTTATGTGACTTGAACCATAGGATTGTGATTAATATTTAGAACAAGATCCCTATCTTTTACCAAACAGTTTTCTTAAACTAGTAAAACATTTCAAGTTGCTTTCAGACGTGAAAGAATGGCTTAAAGAGATTATTTATTTGAGACAGAGTCTTGCTCTGTTGCCCAGGCTGGTGTGCAGTGGCGTGATCTCGGCTCACTGCAAACTCTGACTCCCAGGTTCAATCCCAGTAGCTCGGATTACAGGTGTGTGCCACCATGGCCGGCTAATTTTTGTATTTTTAGTAGAGACAAGGTTTCACTATATTGGCCAGGCTGATCAGGAACTCCTGATCTCGTGATCTGCCCACCCCGGCTTCCCAAAGTCATGGGATTACAGGTGTGAACCACTGTGCCTGAGCAAGAGATTATTTTAGAGCGTTCATCTTTCCATGTGGTATCTTGAAAAAGAAATTTCACTGTTAAAACAAATTCTGCAAGCATTTATTATTGTGAGACTTTATTATTGAAAACTGACATTGAATTACCATTTGTAAATTGTAAAAATTCACTTCTTGGGCCACAGGATATGTTTCTTACAATGCAGTCAAGATTATAGTTCGCCATAAGATACTTGACTCACGTAGAAAAGCCTGACGTGATTTAGACAGCCACTGTGGCCTTTCAAGCACAAGTTAATTAGAAGCAATTATCTTTCAGGTTCGGGCAAGGATTTATGAAGTAGAACAACAGATAAAACAAAGAGGCCGTGCAGTGGAAGTTCGGTGGTCATTTGACAAGTGCCAAGAATCCACAGCAGGTACAGAACACCACAGAGGAACGAGTGCTTTTGAATGCTGGAGTTTATGCAGTGTTTCTGCTTCTTGTAAACCACTCCCCATGAATAAGGAAGCTTTTTGACAGAGCCACCTGGTGAATTTTGAGGACATTCTTCAGTTTATGCCTTTTAGATACTGGCTGTCTAGAATGTCAAGTTTGGTTTTGTTGATGATTGTTTGGTAGCATATGCCAAAAATGATGATTTAAAAAATTTCTTTTGCCTTATATAGAATGGTGATTTTGTATTGTGTTATTCTGTTTTTGGCTTCATTAACCACTTTAATTTCTGCCGGTAGGGGTGACTATTAGTCGGGTTTTGCACACATTGGAAGTTTTGGATCGTCATTGTTTTGACCGAACTGATTCCAGCAATTCAATGGAGACACTTTATCATAAGATTTTCTGGCCAAACCAAAACAAAGATAACCAAGAGGTAGTTAATTTTTTTTCTTCTTTTTACCTTTTCCTAGTGTATTTTCTTCTTTCTTATTTAGGAAACTCTGGTGAAACCTTTTCTATGAAGTACAGTATTGTATGAAAACATACACACTTTGAAATCATTTTATTATTGGACTAAGATTACCCACTATTATTAAAATGAAATGTCAGTGGGACTTGTCTACCTAGGAATATTGATTATTGACTGGCAAGATTTTTCTTGGCCCTTTTACCATCATTCTCCAATTTTAGTTTTAGAAGAATAGCTTTCATATAGTGATTGGACTTAATACAATGGGCTAGGCTTAACTTAGGTTGAATGTATTTTAACATTTAGCACAGCAGAGGGCAGTGCATGAATACTTGTGGTCATGATCTTTCAAAATCCTTAGACAATGTATTAGGCAGGGTTCTACAGAGAAATAGAACCAATAGAAAAAAAGTGTATGTTACATGTTTGTATGTATATGGGTGTATACATACATATTTATATCTACGTAGAGAGAGAGAAAGGGAGAAAAAAGAAAGGGATATTTATATTAAGGAATTGGCTCATGTGATTATGGGGCTGGCAAATTGGAGATATTCAGGGCAGGCTGGAGACTCAGGGAAGAACTGATGTTGCAGTCTTGAGTCCGAAGGCAGTCTGGAGTCAGAATTCTTTCTTCTTCTGGGGACCTCAGTCCTTTTTGTTTCTTTGTTTGTTGGAGATGGAGTCTCAGTCTGTTGCCTGGGCTGGAGTGCAGTGGCGCCATCTCGGCTCACCGCAACCTCCGCCTCTTGGGTTCAAGCAATTCTCCTGCTTCAGCCTCCTGAGTAGCTGGGATTACAGGTGCCTGCCACCAAAGCCCAGCTAATTTTTTTTTTTTTTTTGAGATGGAGTCTCTCTCTTGTTGCCTGGGCTGGAGTACAGTGCCATAGTCTCAGCTCACTGCGGCCTCTGCCCCCCGGGTTCAAGTGATTTTTCTGCCTCAGCCTCCCGAATAGCTGGGATTACAGGCATGTGCCACCATACACATCTAATTTTTGTATTTTTAGTAGAGATGGGGTTTGTCCGTGTTGGTCAGGCTGATCTTGAACTCCCAAATTCAGGTGATCCGCCCACTTCAGCCTCCCAAAGTGCTGGGATTACAGGGATGAGCCACTGTGCCCCGCCAATTTTTTGTATTTTTAGTAGACACGGGTTTCACAATGTTGGCCAGGCTGGTCTCGAACTCTCCTGACCTGGTGATTCTCCCTTCTCTGCCTCCCAACGTGCTGGAATTAGAGGTGTGAGCCACTGCACATGGCTGGGACCTCAGTCTTTTAAGGCTTTTTATTGGCTAGATTAGGCCCACACACATTATAGAATGTAATCTGCTTTACTCAAAGTCTGATTTAAATCTTAATCACATCTTTAAAAAATCTTTTTAGCAACATCTAGACTGGTGTTTGAACAAACAACTGGATACAGTAGCCTAGCCAGTTAATATCTAAAATTAGTAATCATAGGCAACTTTTATCTTATGCTTTTCTAGCAATAGATTGTTTAATGAATGAATTGCCTTAAAAACTAGAATTTTCTATTTTTTTTTTCCCCTCAACCTTGGGGAGAAATAAAATGTTTGTCTTCTTTTCACAATTAAACTGACAATGATATATCCAGCTTGTACTAGGCACCAGGACTGCAGAGGTAAGTTTTAAGACACCTTCATTACTTTAGGTAACTGATGGCAATTATCTTTGATGTTTCATCTAGCTTTTGGGAATGCATAAGTGGAAAGAAAAGGTGAAACAACAGTAACAACCGTCAGAAACCTTTTCTTCTCTTACCTTTATGTGAGCCTGATACATATTCCAGATTATTATTCATTTTGGAATAATTTTTGAGTCATCACCTTGCTTCTCAAAGATATGGTTCAAGACCAGTGGTGCCAGCTAGGATCATTCAGAATGTTGAGAGCAAGGGACTGATTGAGTGTACTTTTTAAATTCATTGTGTCAGTAGCAATGCCTCCGTACTTCAGTAGAGCATGCTGATACAATCCTCTGTTACTGAGGCACGTTAGAGTGGCACGTGCTCTTTTTGGGTGGAAACCTTAAAGTATGTTTTTAGTAAAGACTTTCTTAGATAAAAGGCCTCATGAATAAGATTTTCAATACATATAGGTGAGTTATCTGGAAGGAAGGAAAGTAGGGATACCCAAAATTCAGGAGGTCTTGGATTGTTTAGCTTCCTGCACTAAGTATTGAATAAAAGCTATGTTGTTTCCTGGTAAGGGTTTTACCAAGACCCTCAAAACCAACTTAGTGTTGTGGTTAGCCTGACTATATTCCTTCAGAGTGTGTACACTGGCTAACTTCAGGATTATTGCATCATTCACCCGCAAACACTTAAATTACTCATAGCACTCTCAAGAAAAAAAATTTTTTTTTAAAGGTCAGAAATTATGTTGTGATTTTTCTGAATGAAATCACACTGTGTGGTTCTCTGTGAAGCACAGGTATCCCCAGAGTGGGTGCTTGCAATGAGCCATAAATGATTAGAACTTCTGTTCAGATTGTAATTTTTAAAAGCCTCTTTTGTGTCCGTTTTATAATGAATGTAATTATTATGGTAGTATAGGTATAGAAGTTATAAATAAGTATGTGTTGAAAGTTTTTACTTCAAAAACTCTTTGAGCCGAGAGAAGGTATGTGAGAAATGTTTGGAGATCACTGCTGGAAGCTTCGTCTACCTGAGCGACTTCTCACAGGCTGCAGGGAGGTGCATGCCACTAGAGGGCAACATGTACTCAGGGATGAGAGTCCTGGAGGCTCTGGAAACGCACTTCTCTGGAAGGACCATCAGTGTTGCCCCTTTTAGCAGTAATTGTTTTGAATGTTGACTCAACTTCAGAAATATTTGATGTGAGCAAGTGGTTGCTTTGTGGTTACAATACTGTTTTATGAGTAAGACAGAAACTACATTTTAAGCCTGTAATTCAGATTGGTCACCCTTTCTTAATCTGGCAAAAAGGATAACAGAATAGACAGATCCTTCTATAATACTTAACATTAAATTATTATTATTTTTCCAAGACAGTCTCAGTCTGTCACCCAGGCTAGAGTGCAGTGGTACTATCTTGGCTCACTGCAACTTCCGCCTCTCAGGTTCAAACAATTCTCATGTCTCAGCCTCCTCAGTAGCTGGGATTACAGGTACACACCACTGTGCTTGGCTAATTTTTGTGTTTGTGGCCAGGCTGGTTTTGAACTCCTAGCCTTAAGTGATCCATCTGCCTTGGACTCCCAAAGTGCTAGGATTACAGGCATGAGCCACCATACCCGGCCTAAATTAATTTTTAAAATATGTATTTGGTATCTATATGTATGGTGTATACATCAAGGTATGTATGTATATGTAATCAAGTGACAAAGTTTTTTCTCTCCATTTACTCTTTAACAGGAGTTACTGTTATTTTATTTTATTTTTTTGAGACAGAGTCTTGCTCTGTCACCAGGCTGGAGTACAGTGACGTTACCTTGCCTCACTGCAACCTCTGCCTCTGGGGTTCAAGTGATTCTCCTGCCTCAGCCTCCTAAGTAGCTGGAATTACAGGTGCCTGCCCAGTTAATTATTTTATATTTTTAGTAGAGATGGGATTTCACCATGTTGGCCAGGCTGGTCTCTAACTCCTGGCCTCAAGTGATCCACCCACCTTGGTCTCCCAAAAGTGCTGAGATTACAGGCATGAGCCACTGTGCCCAGCTCTGTTTTCTCGACTGTAGAGTCACTCTGTGTATTTCCGGAATTCGTGCATGCGCCGTAGCACCATGTCAACTGATCAGCTGGTGATCTTGAGTAAGTTCCTCAAAGCTTTGTGCTATAGTGCCCTTCCTGGTTATGTAGGCATAGAGTACTTGCCCTTTTTATCTCTAAGGAAACATGAACACTTTGAGAATTATAAAGCACTATATAAATATGTTTCAAAAATGGTTCACAATAATATAGCAATTATTAGTATTCTACTAGAAGAACTAATGTGATGATGCTGTTCTCTGATGAGTTGCGTGTGGATAGGATTCAGAAATTGGTCTCACTTCTTTAAAATATACTTCCCCTTTTTTGTTTTCATGATTTTTTTCAGGATTAAGGTAACGTGATAGATAAAACATGATCAGCCTCCGTGGTTGCAATAGGTTGGAGGTTTGCTGGTACTGGAAGTCATGTTTAGGTAGGCCCAGGCCCCAGGTTGCATAGCCTGCTTCCTCACATCTGTTAGGAAAGCCTGAATTTCACCCTCCTTGATCCCTTAGTTCACTTTTCTCTGGAACTGTGAAAGTGAAATGCAGTCCCCGCTACTTTCCTGTAGGGAGGGGGAGGACATCTGTCCAAATGGTAGAAGTTCGTGTGTGTAATCAGTTTCAGTATTGGTGAAAGCCTGTTGAAAACTGCAATGCAGCCAGGCGCCGTGGCTCATGCCTGTAATCTCAGCACATTGGGAGGCCGAGGTGGGCGGATCACTTGAGGTTGGGAGTTTGAGACCAGCCTGACCAACATGGTGAAACTCTGTCTCTACTAAAAATACAAAAAAATTAGCTGGGTGTGGTGGTGCATGCCTGTAATCCCAGTTACTCAGGAGGCTGAGGCAGGAGAATCGCTTGAACCTGGGAGGTGGAGGTTGCAGTGAGCTGAGATAGCAACACTGCACTCTAATCTGGGCAACAGAGCAAGACTCCGTCTCAAAAAAAAAAAAAAGAAAAGAAAAAAAAAGAAAACTGCATTGTATGGGATGAAGACATTTGGGGCCTGGGGACTGCCTTGTGGTTAGACTGTGGTCATGGGAGTGGGAGTAGGAGCAGCACTGTGCCCATGTTGGGATGTTCCAGGCTGTGGTATGCTTTCACTGATTCCACATGGAATGCACTATTTACTCTCCCTCCCTCTTGCCCTTTGCCCCCCATTTCCTTGGCTGCTGTTTCTGTGTCTGGGCTTTTGTGTATCATGGCAAGGGAGGTGAAAATTAAAATCTC